AATCACTCTGGTCTGAGATCCATGATTTGCTACATTCCATTCTAGACCATGGCCACAGAACGCACTGCCAGCCTGACGGGGCAGTGACAATTTTAAAGTTCTGCTCTATTTCCCAGTGGAACTCAACACTAATGCTTTTCATCACCCTGATGCTTAATGCTTTATACAATTACAATTCTAGCATTGGTAGAACCTAGACACAAAAATGTGTTCTTTTGATTAGCACCTTGCTTCACCAGTACCCCCAATTCTCATCAATTCAAATGAGATTTGCAGCAGCTACCACAGCATTAAAAAAACTAGAGATGTGCTGAGGTGAGCTGCAATTTGACAGCTGGGTTTCCACGCTTCCAGGTGGCTGGATGCATCAGGTTTTGGTAGGTAATAGGTCCTAACATCACATCAACAGCAAAGAGGGGAAAAGGCAGGACTGTAAGAAGATCAGCAATTTTATGCTTTGATCTGACAGTGAAATAAAATGCTCTGACAGAAAAGGCTACAAATATATCTGAATTTGTAAACTGTGCCAAGAACTTGTCCTGACTCAATGATCAGAAATACAATGACAGTGCTTGAGCATACATTACCAGGAATGAAAGACAACAAAATTTAATGCCTGGTAAAAATTACATCTGTTCCCACACCGTTTTTAAGGAGAAGGAGCTGAACCTCTAGGAGTGGGAGTGAAGTGGTTTGAAGCAGAGGACAGAAAAAAATGCAGCTGGAATCGCAGAGGAAGTCTGACTCTCTAAAAGCAACCCTTCTCCCCACAAAACATCTAAACTAGTGGGAAGAGACTCTCACGTTTTCTCCCTCATATCCTGCTGCCATGCACCTGCACAATTAGAGTGTAAGAGAGGAGTAAGTGTCGAATGTAAATACCACAGACTGTGAACAGTATTGCACACACAAAACCAATGTGCTTTCTTCAGTTTTACAGACAGAAAAGCAGGGATGGACTGCCTGTGACTTCAAAAAATCACAAAAAGAGAGCAGTTGGCATGAAATGGTGATATAAAAAAATAAAAAGTATTATTATTGTTGTTACTATTATTATTATTATTAGTATTATTATTTTTAATGAAATTATAACAAGAGGCAGCAAGTACAGGTTGAGATTAATTCCAGGAAGCTTAAAAATAAGGATACTGTGGCACATGAAGATTCACAACGCACTTTTCTTTGTTTTATTCATGGAGAATGGTACATGTTCTTACAACACTAGGACTCTCAACATTATCACAAAATGTAATAGTGATTATTATTAGCTGTGGAGAAGTATCTGGGCTTTCTGAGCTGGCCTAGTTTCAGCACATACGGTTTTGCTTCAAATGTAATCAACAAATTCTATGAAGTTGATTTATTATTGCAAAATGTATGTTCTCTTGCATTAAAGCACAAGAAATAAAGCATGACCATCATGTTTTGTAACTAATTTATTTTTTTCTCCTTTTTTAATCTGTCTTACAACTTTACCATGACATTTTAGTGACAACAGTGCTAAACTAACTCAAAAACAAAAAGGAGAGTAATTAAAAATAGGCAGACAGCGAACATCATGATACATTGCCATAAAATTATCCCTTCAGTGTCCTTTGTAAAAATTTTGCTAAAAATCCAACATTTTCCATGGCAATACTGAGTCAGATTGTTTTATAATATGTAGAATTATATATGCAGATCCTCACTGCACAAGCATTTGGTTAAAGCTTGCACTCCACATTTAAGGCAAGGAAACATTTTCTGCTTTCTTGGAACAAAATTTGTATCACAGAACTTCTGACTGACACAACTTACAGATCCTGAAAACTTATTTGTCTTTCTCCCTTTCCCCCACAACTTCAGGAATCACTCAGAGCTCTTTCAGAATTTCTTACTGTTGAGTACAATGAAAGAGATGGCTCCTCTCACACTGCAAGGGCTTTCTGCTCTTATGGATTTTCTGGCAGTGATAACCAAGATATCTCTGTGCTGCTGGGCAGCCTCTGCCTAGCCTGAACAACCACCAGTTCTGGAGTAAGTGGAAATAAGAAGTTGGTTACATGTGCAGAACTAAAGGACTTTTGGGAAGGAGGGCAGCAACACCTACTGGTCGTGGCGCAGACTGAACACTGCTTTGGTTTGGTTTTTAATTTGACAGTACTGAAAAGAGTTTTTTCTTACTAGAAGTTTTGGCTACATTATTGCTAAAATGTATTAGCACTCATAATTTCTGACCCCCTAACAGTAAATAAATATTCATAACTGAGCTGAGCTCTAGGCTTTGATATAAAATGCAACACAAGGAGTCCTGCTGATGATTCCTTAAAGTCACTGAAGGATTTACATCGCACACCCTAACGTGCACAAAGCCTTTCTCAATTTCTAATTATTGCCTACTCAAAGCAACTCAAATATTAGGGACTGAACAATCTGAGCAGTCTCATTTTTTTCCTACACTATAAAATACTGCAAAGTATTCAAATGGCTTCTGCAATTCTTCAGTATTTTTAACATGCATTCCTTTAATCTCCAAAAGTAAGTTTTTCTTCCAAATATTACTTGGAATAACATAGAACAAAACATACACAGCAGTTCTGTGATGCACCTCATCCCCTTCAAAAACGAACCACAGAGCATCAACACCATTTTCAGAAAACACTTAATTCAAAATTAAAATGTCCTCAGCTGTAAATTTTTTAAATCAACTATAACAAATCTGCATTCAGCAACTGTATTTAATGCTTCCTTTAAATTTCCATTTAAAAAATATTTTATTAATTTTTTCAAGTTGTGTGTATCTATAGGTGTGCTGATACACTACCCTTAGGCATCAGAAGTTTTCCTGGTTCTCATCCAACTTTGGAAATAATATCTTCTTGCTTCAGGTGTTAAAAGGATTCATACATTATTTATAAGGACTGCTAAAATCTAACTCCTGGATCTAACTTGCAAGAGAAAGAGTATAAAAAGTTACATATAGGAAAAAAACTAAAAAGCACAACTGTCCCCATTTCAATTTTTAGCCTCTCTTTGTATATCGTGTATTGTCAGGCTGAGTCTGAACTCTCCTCTCTCCCTCCCCATGCTCAGATATTTGTCTGCAGCTGTTTTGAGCCTCGCTGGATTTGACTTTTCTTTCATATTTTAGAGTATGATTTTCCAAAGGGAAAAAAAACCCAAAACAACTGCAACACTGCTGGGCAACTTGTTACACTTCAAAGACGCCAGATTTCTCTGACAGAATGGTGTTTGTTTACCTCCTGAAGAATCAGGCCAAAGCAAGTAGCCAGAACAGGGGAGCTAAAATCCCCATTCACTTCTCAAAGTCTTCTTCCTCAGTACTCTTCTTTTATATATGCCGTCTACACATTTGATATTTATATTTTGTTCTCCTCTTCCTGGTTTGAGAGAGTTCATTGTTAAATTTTTAGAACAATCTTTTTAACAAACTTCACAAGGGTGAGACTTCAGGATCTCCTTACTAATTTAAGAAAGTATTTCTGTTTTGAAAGCAGTTCAGTTTCCTGGGTTGTATTAAGGCAAGAAACAGTTCAGTGTTTCAATAGTAATATAGTTATCAATATAATAACATAAAAATTACATATTACTATAACAAAAATAGTTATCAATAGCAAGAAATGCTACTGATCTATAAAACACAACTAAAAGAAACAGAAAATTAAAGTCTACAGAGCCTCAGAAATACTCACCAGGATGAGTAAATCCTCACTTTGTTACTGGAATGAGCCTATTTGTTCAGAACACACCAGATCCCAGTACCTGTTCCTCACCACAATTTCACTTGCTCTAACTGGAGTACACAGCAACTGCATTTTTAGCTGAACATGATGTAAGAGAGCCTGAACATACACTTCCTACAGCTTGCTAAACTACTGGAATATTGCCCCATGCCACACTTGTAGCAGCACAGCAATGGATTTCTTTGCCCAACAAGGTCATGTTGCTTATATTCATCCTTACGCTGGGCAAGGTTTTTACACCTATTTCAACAAGCAGACTTTGAGACCTTCATTCTTAAAAAAAGAGCAATATGCACAATAGAGCATGATATCCCTTCTGTCCCCACACAATTCTAAATCAAGTGTCTTGTGCAGGTTGCACCTGTTCATTACACTCTTTTGGAAAATTAATTTCTTCTGTCTGGGATTTTTATGCCCCCTACCTTACATATATTTATTTCCACACAAAGTACAGTTGTGTGCTGTTCACTATTCAAAGGGCAAGTCAAACTAGGTCATGTTTCTTAAAGGTTTATCTTATTAGCAATCAAGTCTCATATAGCTGAAAAATAGAGAAAACAAGTATGCTTTTTCCACTGCCACAGTGAAAATTCTCAGGTTATTTGAATCTCAAAGCACTTGTATAGTTGGTTTCATTGTTTCCTCAACTTTTGCCTCTGTGGGACAAGAAAAGGAAGGAGCAGCTGGATGATGAAACCCTAATCAATGGTAGCAAAGAGAATTAAAAGCCAGTACAATGCCTCTAAAATACTCTTCCATATTTTAAAGCTGAATTCATTTTAATTGGAAAAGGAGGTTTTTCTGTTTGGTTTGGTTTGGGTTTTTGGGTGAAATTTGTCACAAGTAAGGAGAAACAGCTATCAGGAGTAGGAAATGCTGTGCCAGTCTCACCAGCCTTCCTTCTACCTTTACCAAATTACAGAAGCCCTTGCAGGAGGCATAAGGGGGAGGCTAACACATAAAAGGTAATGCAGAGCATTCATTCCTATTGTCATCTCAAAACTTAAAATTTAGAATGCATTATTGAAACATGGGGTAACATGGTGAATTTTTGGCATGAGTTAATCTGGAAGGAAAGTAAGAACAGTGGAGAACAAACCTGCCACAGCACTGCTACCTGTTTTGCAACCCTGCTTGGGTAGCACCCCATGGGCCCTTCCTGTACCACTGCCACAGGGCAGCACAGCTTGAGCTGCTGGAGGATGCCCACAAATACCCAAATACACCAAAACTGAAAGCAAAGGATTGATTTCACACCTTCTTGAGAGGAGACAATAGGTGGCAGGTAATCAGGGATGTACTCCTTCCTCTCTTCTGCATCCTTACTTCCCAGCTGGGGGAACTGGAGGACATTGTTCTTGCTGACAGGGAACGAAGGGATTTGATGTGCAAAAGTGACAGGTTCAATATTGTGTATGTAATCTTCCAGCTCATGCAGGTTAACCCCCATAAGCTTGAAGGCATCGCCTACGTCATCCAAAATTGGATCTGTGCGGCCATCTGGAACAAAAAAAAAACCAGAAAAACAATATTTTCATACAAATCCAGGTTAAAAAATATTTTCATACAAATACAGGTTAAAAAATTCGACGTGAAGATGCTTCAAGATTACAGTTCCCCAGCTCACCACCAGTAGGAGTGATGGACTGACTATTCCACAGTTCCACCAGCTTACTTTCAGGAGGGTTTTGTTTTGAGCCATCACTTTATTTCAAATCATACCACTGAAGAAGTGCACTCCAGGAAGCAAATCAAGCCCAAATGAAGGAGCAACAGCAGGCAGCTTTACCTGGCAACAGTCAATTAACACCACACAACCCCATATGCAGAAAGCGTTCTTTATCAGTACGGAACAGATCAAACATTATTTCTCAACCTAGAAGAGCAACAATTTCATTTTTTTGAACTGACTGTAGTTTACAGAGAGAAAAGGAAAAAGAAGTCTCTTGATATAAAAAAAAAAAAACTTCACAAAGTATCTTTCCACCTGTAGATGAAATCTACAGGCTTCATAAACTATGAGCCACTTCATCTACTGGTTAGCTACTCCTGGATAAAAGAGAGGAATATTAAGTAGTGGTCTGATGAGGACAGAATATTTTATACTATACTCCAGGGGCTGATTTTTTGGGGTGAAACTTAAGTTTGATTCTACAGGAAAAATCTTATTTTCTTCATAAAAAGTACAGTGAAACCTCACTGGCCAGGCAGTCAGGATATTTATTTAATAAGATCTCCAAGAAAATAGTCCAACAGAGGATGCAGTTTGTGCTATACAATTAATTTGCCTCAAAGCTTTAAATTACACTTGAAGAAGCCCAAGTACCTCAGTTTCCCTGGCTTGATAGAGGAAAATCCCTCAAAAGGCCTCCGGAGGGAGAACTGGGCACCTGGATTCGGGAGCCAAGGCACCACTTCGAGTCTCTTCCCAACTTTTCATAACAATAACCCAAAAACAATGCTGTAAACCCCAAACATGATTTTAAATGCAATAAAATGATATACTGAATTATTACAATTCTGTAGAATTGGCTTATGAAGATATAACATCCCTATATGATGATAAGCTGTGATTTACTTTAAAAAGTAATTATGGAAAAGCAGCCTGTGTTTATTGAAGGAACACAATGGCTATTGTGGAGCCCTGGCTCCAGAGAATGGGGGGATGCTCTTTTGTTTGTCCTTTAACCTAATCTCTTCTTGGTTTATCTTGAAGCTGAGGCAGCTGAGAGAGCTGGTTCTCACATCACTGCATGAATTCCAACCCCCAGCCAACTCACGCCTGCAGGTACGTTTAGAAAATGAGAATTTTGTTCTAGAATTTCCCTTCTTAAGTCTTGCAGTGAAGATAAGGATAATACTCAGATTATGGGGTTGATTCTCAGCTCTCCAACACCGGCCTCTTGTGTGACTCCGGGCAAGTCTTGCTTATGTTTTAATTCTTTCCACAGCTAAAAGAAAGATCAGACCAAGTTACTGCCAGTTTTACCCTCCTGTATTTGGAATGTGAACTCTGCAGGGTGAGAAGCACCTCAGAGTTTGTGTTTGTGTAATATACCTGGTACAAGTGCAATACCACTTTGCTCTGCAAACTCCAGACTTGCATGCACATAATTACATGAGGATATCAACACCACAGAGTAGTTATGAGACCCTTATACTTCTTTGGGGGGGGGAAGTGTATTTTATGCTTAAAAATTAAATTCAGATACCACTAAGAAATTTTGTGTTGTTGCTTCTAGTTGCTCTTCAGGCTATGAAGATACCTATGAACTCACTGAAGCATTTTCTAAGGTGTCACGATTTAACAGGTACAAGTTTGACAGACGGGTGAGAAGAAAAACTTGGGGAAAACTTTTCAAAGGTCTTTTCCTTGATCTGCACACAATCTTTTTAACCTCCAGAAAAGTGTGCTGACATGATAAGCAAGTGATAAATGCTAAAAAGGAATTATTTCTACAAGTGCTTTTTAAGAACACTTGGAAAAGAAGTAGCTACTAAGTGTAACTGAAGCATGGAAATATTTAACAACTGTATCATGAAACAATTACGTGTGTTAGAAAGTGGGTTCAAAAGGTGACCAAAAAAACCCCAAAGAAGATTCAATTTTCCCACAGCTTTGACATTTGCCTCCAAAGAGACAATGCCAAGTTTAAAGTTTGATTGAAAACTAAAAATAATGTTTAAACCTGCACATGTCAGAGGGATGAAAGGATAGAGCAGTTAACCCTTCTTTTCAGGACAGTGTCCTCAGTGATAAAAGTGTTTGAAAAAAGTATCAGATCTATATTCATATCTGTATTTAAAATCAAACCAGTTGGAAACTATCACAGCATAAAAATGCATTAAATGTATTTCTAGGTTATTCATCAAATAAAGACTATACACTTTTATTTCAACAGTTTAGCATTTCTCTTCACTCTCTGGCTTAATAAAAAAGTCAGTAAAATAGCAGAAGCCAGACACATGAAAGGGAATGCTGACAAACATGTAACACACTCTCTCCCGGTGTTTCATTTAATCTTAGGCTTCTTTCTGTGAGTAAAGGATGCCAAGAAAAAAAGTTAAATCTGTGCATACTGAACTTATCTCATTATTCTTCACATATCTGTGCTATCCTCAGTTTAAAAATTCAGATGCTGAAGCCTCCCAGTGAAATAATTAATCTAATGTCACACAGCAAGTCAGTGCCAGATCACAGACACTTCAGAGATTTGGTTTCCAGTCTCTTGCTGTTCTTTATACCACAACAGTTTAAATACTATCATTGTTCAGGGCTGGGAAGAGACGGAAGGAGGTGGGAATAGTTTATCCAGCAAGTTAGAACTCTCATCCCTTTACCTCATGAACAGTGAACTACAAAAATACCTTTCTCACAAGCTTTTAAGCTGCACTATCTCCCAGAATGGGAACTGTGCTCCAAAAGTGGTAAAGCTGTGGCAGCAGCAGAGCTAAATTAAGACCATTTGGTCTCAAAACAGCCCACTAGAAACCTGTGGGAATGGTCATGCAGCTACGATATTCTCAGCCTCCCTGGACATGAGAATAAGCACCAGGTGAGGAAGAATCTGTATGTGGAACTGCATCCCAAAAGAGTACTGGACTGAAATGATGGGCAGAGAGAATCCAGGCAGAGCAGAGTATTTGTGTGGAAATTTATCCAGCCCTCAGCCCCACTGCTCAGTATCACCTGCAGATCAATCAACCCATCCACAAGGAAAACCAAATCAAACACAAGAATGGAGCACTAAACTCTCATACAAACAAGGGTTTGGGCTGGGGGGAAAAGGATTTCTTAGAAGCTCTAAAGCCTAGCTATTTTTGCAAAAGTCACAAGAATTCCTCCAGAAAACAAGCTGGCCAGTGCTCATGTCATCCAAAGGCACTGTGAGGGGGTTGTGTGGAATTAGGGAACTGTCTTACTTGCCTTAAATTCAGTCTCAGGACCAGCTGATTCCCTTTTGCCAGACTCACCCCCATCACCTCCTCCTTCCTGGCCCAAAGTTCATATGAATGAGTGAAAATTTAACAGGCAAGTAAGTACAGAACAGAAAAGCCTTTAGTTTCATGCCAGGTCTCTTAAAAGAAGCAACTACAGTTCTGTAATAAATATACTGAGAAAAATTAATGAGTCACCACCCATGCTACATGTACACATGTTATAAATAGCTCAGCATTCCCCCTCATGGCTGCTGTAAAAGAGATTTTTTTTTTTTTTTAGATTTTATTTTAACCAGCAAATTATTAGGTATAGCTCCTTGGTATTTTAATTACAGGCTCTATCACAGATTCCCTGTGCTCCAGCACGTCACACAAAGTTACTCCAGGATAAGTGTTTCAAGGAGACAACATAGCTTCCACCCAGCAAAATCGTAAGCATGCACAATAGGTTATTTAATAAGTATAAATGCCTTACTTAAGGCATCTTAAGTGGGGAAAAAGGAGTCCTATTAACGCAGTTACCAGTCAGGCAAAAGCATCTTCTTGCTATTGGTTCTCAGAGTCTGCTACTTCTCCCAGTAACTTCAGAAATGTCAAGCAAAAAAACACATTGTCCTTCTTTATATTATTAGCCAGTAAGAAGTTAGCTTAAAAACATCAACACTTAAGGTTATGAGGACATAAAATGTAGACTTATAATGAATGTTACAGGCCCAGGATAGATCCTTGTTACAAAGTCATTCAAGGACCAGCAGCAGGAATCAGCTCATTTAAACTGATCACCAAAATCTAATCCTTTGATACGGATTATTACTGTAGAGTGGTAAGAATGTAGTAACTAAAAAGAACAAAACCAAAGAAAACACATGAGGTAAATTTAACATTATAAAGAAAGAAAAAATTGGCTGATGTCAGGTGAATTCTCTCCTCTGTGGTAATTATCAGTGAAAATATTGGACTGCTGTTTGCATTCTCCCTTTGCTATAATGAAGGTTAAAGCAGAGACTGTGCAGACATTGGAGCAGCTTTGGAGCCAGTTCTGCCTTGGAAAACATTTTGCAATATCGGCAATTCTTCCTTCCAGTTATAATACCGTGTTCACCAGATCAGAACCTGCCTTTTAACAAAAATGCAGCTGCATTAATAATACCAATTTCAGTATGGTCATTAATATTTTTTTTATATGTATATATAATAAGTATGTAGTCCTGCAAGGAACAGGGACTTGGACTCAATGATCCATGTGGGTGCCTTCCAACTTGAGATATTCTACAATTCTATGTTTGCATAAAAATAATCTTCAAAAAAAGTAGTTAAACAATATGAAACTAAAGACGAACTTTTAAACTTTATTTCCTAACTGTTAGCAAATTTCAGGGGGGAAAAAAAAATAAATCACAGTATATCCAAGCTCAAGACTGAAAATTGAAAGAAAGCAGAGAATCCACCTCTGAATTCAAAAAGTTCATTATCCAGCTTATTACACTTCTAGTTGTACTAGCAGATAATCTAAATTTGTCCTGATGAAATATATCCAGGTGCCCTCAATGATAGAGTTAAATAGCTTCTATCTGACTGGTTTTTAGAGCAATGTAACAGAAAAATTATTTTGGGGGGGTGTGAACCAACGAGTCCCTTCCTCATCCCTCCCATGAACTGCACCACTCACATAAACAGACTGGAAACTGAACTGCCTTACTGGATGTGTTAAGAGGTAAAACAGGACATATTCTGCATGTCTATAACCCACCACCCCACAGCCAAGCTACATTAGCTAAATTCATGGCAAACAAAGCAGATTCTGATCTGCCCTCATGGACAGCTCCCCAGCATAAAAAAATCCAACCTATACCATTCCAGAGCAGGTAAATCAAAGCACCAGCTCTGCCACCCCTCTATCAAAGCACCTGAAATAGGAGAGCAAAACAAAGTGGCACCTAACAGGGAGCTTTTCCCTTTTCACCTCTCCTTAAAACCAACAACAACAATGCAGAACTCTGCTCTCAGAAACCACTCTACATCAGTTTGTTTTGTAGCCTGATACCTTAATTACATACTCCAACACTGGTTTTCAAATATTTAATTTCAATTTTAGGACAAAACAGCACACAGCTACTGAATAGAGGTCCTTTGACAAGCTTTCCACAAATTTGAGCAGCATAATATGGTGTACTTTAAGAGGAAAACCCTGATTTTCTCCCTGTAAGTTCAGCCTCTCCTCCACCCCCAACACAGCATTCAGAAGCATTTCACGGCGTCAAACACATCTCAAAACCGCTTTGCAAATCCTTTTGCCTTCTCTTTGCAGCCACAGAAGTTCCCATCAACTACAGCTACTGTAAATGCAAAGAAACAACAGCAGAAAAGTAATGAAAATCTTGAATGTAGCTCTCCTAATGGGATGTAACAGCTGGAACAAAGATCTAACCCAGCTGGGAGAGCCATAATTTTCTTCTGCAAGTGAGAGAACATGTGAGCAGCGATGACAGGCTTTTCACAGCAATACCACGGTGTCTCAACTACGTCAGAGTAAATCCATTCAGTTTGGAACACAAAGATTATGTCCCTCAGCTGACAGCCCTGCTAACTCAAACCCCACTGGTTTGACTCCGAGATAACGCCCTGACAATGAAGATGCTACAATTGGAATTTAATTAATTCTACTTATGCAAAACCATGGCAGAATTCAGCTCATTCATCCAGAGCTGGGTTTGTACAGTAACTTATTTTAGGAGCAAAAGGAAACAATTCTGAAATCGCAGGGAGATGTCAGCTCAATATTAAGATGTCGTTTTACAACCTTTTTAAAGAAAGAAATACAGGCATCGTTTTAAGAGAGGTGATACAAAAAATACCACATTACTGGCACAAACACAGCATATTCCCCTTCTCAAAGATAAACAAACAAACAAATCTAAAACCACCAAACACAGATTGTGATACTTGTGGTACCTCCTTCCCCACTCATAGAGGCAAAAAATGCCTTTCCCACTTTCAGTAAGCAAACCCAAAGCAAGAAAGGTGTATCTGAGCTCTACAAACCTCCAATCCTCAGCACCAAAAAAATTATTTGCATCATCTCTATGTCTTTTCCTCCCAGTCCTAAAAACACTGCAGCAGAAGCATCTTCCTCAAAATTTGTAATAACCCTATGAAAGAACAGTTCTGACCAAACCTAGATGAGCTTCTGTTTCACCTCGTCACTCCATCCTCCTAAACCCTCTATGTTGTCTGCTTTAATTGCTTTAAAGATAGTTTCTGTGTGGATTGGAATACAAACTTCACAGCTGCACTTGTACTGCTGGGATATATGGGTTAATATTGCACAGTCCCATTTCTAGACTAACTTGCTCTCAAATTTGGGGAAAGTTGTACAAGTAAACCTATACAATCTGAGAAATCCAGTTTGCAGCATACAGTCATTCCTAAGCTTGGTTACCCTGGCACTGTCAGACTTGATCTCAATTATTCCTGAAATGATGAAGCAGAGCCAGGACCATCACTCAGCTCATCACTTTGCTGCATGGGGGACCCCTGCAGCAGTGAGAAATTCCCTTCTTCAGAGAAGGGACACAACCTCCAGCAACAGCACTTTCAGGCTGTGGTTGCTCCTCTCCTGACCAAGCCACTCACACTGCACTTCCCAGCTCTGCACACTCTCCAAATTCACCTCTGCAGAGGAATCCAACACACTCAGACCTCATAGTTCCTTGGACCTTGATGCTGCATCCAATCCACCACCAGCTGACAGCAATATGTCTCCGATATTCCTCTCACCTGTGGCTATGACACTTCATTAGCACAATTCCCACAGCTTGGATAGTACTGGCAAACATTACCAGTGATGCATTTCAGGGCTGTGATCCCTGTTACCTCTCCAGTAATCTCCAGCAGGCCCAAGCATATTCTGTGAACTGGTGGTGGCTACAGCAGCCCCCAAATCCACCAGCACTTCAGGCAATCAGTTATCCATCCCAGCTTGAGCCCCTGCCAGACTCAACTGACCCCTGCCCCAGGGGCTCTCCAGGACTTTCCCCTCCACGAGTACAGGACACATGGAGCAGCAGCTGCCCACAATGCCACAGCTCTTCAGCATGCCAAAGGAAGGAGGAACATGTGCCTCTTGACACAGGAGACACAAGCTGCCCTGGTTTTCCAGGCACACAGCCTATATCCACCTCTCCAGGGTACCCTTGCTCCCCAAAGTCCCTCCACTATGGAGATCCCCCTTCAATTCCTTCCTACTACTCACAGATCCAGCAGGAGCACAGCAGCCCCATCTATGCACACAAATCTCTGCCACATGACACCCTCCCTGCCCCACATGTAGGGCAGCAAAGGCCTCCATACACACAGACTCATGACCCTCTAACCACTGAGAGCCTGAGCCTTGCTCCTCATTCCCCACATTTCCTGTGTTTAGACCTGGCAGTGATCCTGATAGCCTCCCTCTCCCCGAAGATTTGTCACCTTCCCACCCCTTCCCAACCCATCAGCCTCCTTTGCTGACATTCCCAGACCCAGCACACCCCTTACCATCCTCTCAGCCCCACTGGCGGCATTACTGGAGCAAGCAACTGGACATCCCATCCTCCAAAACCCCAAGTTCTGCAGGTACCAGCAGGACATCCAACCCCTCAGTACCTCCACCCAACTCACAATCTCAAGGGACACACAACTGCATCCTCTACTGTAGACCCAGACTCAGCAGTGGTGCTCACTTCTGACATCAACACCCACATTCCACACTCGTATGTGACCCAGACAGCAGTCCTTGGCACTGATTCCCAGGCCTCTCTTCTTTTTCTCCTACTTGCTGTAAACTCACCCCTTCCATGCTCCCACCCCAGCCCCACCTCACCCCTAATACAGTGAGGCCCTGGGCATCCTGCACCTCACCATCACCTCCAGCTCCTTCTGTACCGCTTCAATGGCAGTGTTGGCTAACTCCAGTCCCCCACATATCCAGTGAAACCTCTTCCTCTGCATCCACGTGAGGACACTCATACCTCATGCAAGCACACTAAATTATCCTCAGCCCCAACCCACCCCTTCTGCACTCCACAATTCCCACGTGCAGCCCTGCCACACTCCCACATTCTGTGCACTACAGCTCCACTTCGCCCCAAAAACATGTTTTTCTGTTTATGTTACAAAAACATGTTTAGTGTTAGTGCATCCCTGCATTCCTACATTCCCCATACACATGCTCCCAGCCCCACAGTACCACTGCTTCCCCTCTCTACACAAACATTCCCAGAGCACCCCAGCAACAGAACCTCCAAGCACACTACTCCCTCCCCATGCAGGAGGGAGTCCAAGCCTTTCACCATTCATCCTCAGCACTTCCCCTTATGACAGAACAGTGAACCCCACACACACACCCCCACCTGCACTGGGCCCCCAGAGCCCCCTCAGCACTGACTGCAGGGCACAAAAGATGACCCAAAAATGAGCCACGACAACACAGCACCACATCCTCCATGTACACATCCCACCAGTAAAAGGGGCTGGCTGCCCCTTCTCCCTCCAGTTCATCCCACTCCCAGATTCAGAATATCCCAGCAATGGGGCCAACAGTGCCCTCTCCCCCTCCTGTACTTGTGTCTCTCCCTCCCCAGCACGCTGCATGCTGTAGCCAGAGAGAGTGGGACAGCATCCCCATGTCCCCACACCCCAGACCCACTGCCACAGAGCCTCCTGTTCTCCAACTCCAGCCCCACAGCCCCAACTCCTCACCCACACCTAGACCCACTTCCCCACAGTCCTCCCTGGCACCAGGACCTCCTTGACCCAGCACTGCCCCACGGCTTCCCTCCCCGTCCTCTCAGTCCTGTGTACCACTGCACAGCCCGGCTCCCCTTCCCCACAGCTCCCAGCACATGGGCTGATCTTCCTCAAACCCACACCTCACGCTCACTGACCCAAAGACCCCAGCACTGCCCAAATCCCACCTCCCTGCACTCTTCTGCCCTGCCCAAATGACCACAGCTCCGTGACCCTGCCCTGCCAAGCACCCTCAGCTCCTGGCACTGCCTGACAAGCAGCAGCTTCCAGCTGCCATCCCCACACCTCCACAAAGATACCCCACAGCCTTCCCCCACAGATCTCCACTCAGGGTCCCCTGTGCTACCCAAACCCACCTCCCTGTACCCCCCTGCCCTGTCCCCCAGACCCCTGCCCAAATCCCACCTCTCCGTGCCCCCCTGTCCTGCCCCCCAGACCCCAGCACTGCCCCAAACCATTTCCTCGTGCCCCCCTGCCCTGCCCAAATCCCACCTCCCCGTGCTCCTGCCCTGCTCCAGCAGTGTCCAGCGCCGTTTCCTTGGCGGGATGGCCGAGACTGGCAGGGCTCACGGAGCTCACTCAGTCCGGACCCTGCTCAAGCAGGGCCACTCACAGTGGCCTCCGAGGACCGTGTCCAGCCGCAACCCCCCAACCCGGCCCCAGCCCGCACTCACAGAGCTCGCAGTAGCGGTGGCAGCCCCGGCCCAGCCCCTGCAGGTACCGCTGCAGCACGTCGGTGAGGAGGTCGCAGGCCGATACCTGCACCGAGTCCCAGCCCAGGGCCTGGCAGATCTGCGCCACCGACACCCGCAGCAGCCAGCGGGAGTAGGTCTCGCACATCCCGCCGGGGCCGGGGGGCCGCGGGAGCTCTCACGCACCGCCCGCCACCGCCGCCATCGCTGCCGCCATCTTGGCGCCGCCCCGCCCCCGGCAGGCAGCGCCGCTCCAGCGCCGAGCGCATCGAGCGGGGCGGGGCGCGGAGCGCGGGAACCCGCCCGGAGCCCTCAGTGCCGCGTCCCGCTGCGCGGAGGGGACACGGCGGGGGCGGCGTCGGGTAAATACATCAGGATCAGCACCCCAGCTTCGCTAAATGTCTCCCACCACCTGAAGGGAGCTTACAGGAAGGATGACTGTTTACAAGGGCAGGTAGTGACAGGACGAGGCGGAACGGCTTCAAACTGAGAGTGGTTTTAGATGGGATATGGGGGAAGAAATTCTGCACTGTGAGGGTGATGAAACACTGCCATAGGATGCCCAGAGAAGCTGTGGATGGCCCAGTCGTGGCGGTATTCAGTCAGGTTGGATGGGGCTCTGAGCACCCTGGGATAGTGAAAAGTGTGTCTGTCCATGGCAGCGGGTACAAGATGATCTTTAAGGCCCCCCTCTAACCCAAACTATCCTGGGATTCTATGATCTCTATAAATAATCTCTCTACCTCTAAATAAATATCTCAATATATCTCAGAGACAGCTGTCAAGAGGATGGTGCCCGACTCTTCCAAGTCATGTCCAGTGACAGGATAAAGAGCAATGGCCATAAACAAAACCAGATCACAAGAAGTTTCACCTCATCATGAGGAAGAACCTCCTTACACTGAATACAGTGCCAGAGCACTGGAACAGGCTGCCCAGGAAGGTTATATTTCTCCTTTTTAACTTTCCAGCTGGATGGAACACCAAATTTGCAGCAATAAGGAAAAAGTGTTTCTGGGCAAGTTCTTTAATTGGGAAAAAAAAAAAAAAAACAAGCAGGGAGAGGATTGAACTACTGTGGTAAAAAGGATCCAGAAACAAAAATTACAGTAACTGAGTGGTGTAGGAGGCACAAGGAGGAGCAGCAGAGCTTTTACTCAGTGGTGGCTGTGGAGATACACAACAGCTAAACTGTAACTCAGTGGTCGCCTGTAACTAATCAGAGCATGGAGGACAGAGAGGTAAATAATAGAACTCTAGTATTAAAACCTAATTAGTTCAGAAATTAGCACTTTGGTTTATGAGTAGTCTGTTGTATCAGTCACATTCACATCTCACATCTGCAGCCTGAAGAGCAGGACCTGGACCCAGAACCAAGTCCTGAAGCTCCTGGTTTGGTCAAAAGCTCAAGGTCCTGAGGGTCGTGTCCCTCAGGGCTCCATACTGGGACCAGGACGAGCTTCTCTGGACAACTTGTGCCAGGGCCTCAGCCCCTTCACAGGAAAGAATCTCTCCCCAATATCCAAACTATCCCTGACCTCCATCACTTTAAAGCCACAGTCCCTTGTCCTGTTGTTCCATGCCCTTACCCAAAGTCCCTTTCCTGCTCCCCTGGAGCCTCTTCAGATGCTGAAAGGTCTCCCTCAAACCTTCTATTCTCCAGGCTGAAGAAAACTCAGGGTGTCTCCACAGAAGAGCTGCCCCAACCCTCTGACATTTACATTTCTATACACACATTGACCATGCTATAAACTGCATTCTAAATAAGCTCTGTAGTGACTCACCTAATCACATCAGTTAATTTTAAAAATTCAAAAGCTGTTAACAGTAGCAATACAAAATTCAAATAAGAGAGATCAGTGTTTATGGGGAATAAAACAGAGAGTACAACAGAGCTGATAAAGGAGCCTAATAGCTTAGGCCCGATCGAGCAAAAACTGCGGGAGAGACACAGGTCCCTGGGCAGTAAGTGATCAAGAAACAAGTTGTGAAACTTTGTGATAATGTTACCAGGTGATGTCATGAAGAATGTGTAAGCAGTGGAAATTGTTACCAAACCTTCTATAAGTGCCATACAAGTAAAACCCTATATAAATGCCTTGTATACTCAATAAAATTGGCTTCTGATCTCGACTCGGATGTCCCCATCTCTCAATTGCTGGGTAGATATTCTAGCTGTGTGATGCAGAGGTTATTCCAGTCTCCTGCAGCCCACAGTATCTGTCAAAGTGGGTCACTTTCAAAGACCAGGTGAAGCAAAAAAATCTCTTCCACTCTTCAAAAGAAGCATTCACTTACATGTTTCATATGGAAAAAAAATTAAAAATGTAGCACACAGACTTTTAAAAAATAAAGTTTCAAAGCACACCCAAGCCCAATCCAGACATTCAGACTCCAAGAGAATTTGCTCCACAGACAACCAAAAGGATCTGTTTCATGGAGGTGGTTTATTGTAAGAATTTACAGATTTCTGGGGCTTTTCCACTTCTTCACAAGATAACAGAGCAGTCTTGTTAACACAGACACAGGCAGGCTAAACCACATATGCTCGGAAGAGCTCCTCTTCACCTGTAAGGAAAATTTAAACAAATTAAAACCCTCTCATCTATTTATGTATTTCTTTTAAACTGTTATCTTCCCTAATTTGAACACTTCATTAATATTCCTTACCCTCCCCCAAACTATTAATCAATTCTATTTTTTTCTTACATTTTAAATTTCAAAATTTTCCTTACATTTTAGATTTTGAATATGTTCATGTTAATACAGAAACCTCTTTAGGTATGTCTTACATACAGACATTTTTAAGTAATTGTATTCAGTCAGGCCACTATGCAAAAATTCAAACAATAATTGTGAATTAATCCAGTAACAGAGAAAAAAAAACCCACAGAAAATTATAACTCATATAGGATTATGCTCCCATGAACATACTTTCCTTAAAATTACTGAAAATTAAGAATTCTTTCTCTAGACAGATTCAAAATAGAAATGTCCAATTTAACAGCTCTTTAAGAAGAAAAATTTCTGTCTGACCAAGACCACTCAATTTTGACTTCCTCATCTGACTTTATATTTTCTGTGTTAATTCATTTTAAAACACAATCCAGTTTCTATGACATAACTTTACCTCTTGGATTTGGCTGAACCGCTTTTCCTGATTAATCCCTGGTTATGGTATTATGAGAAAAAACAAAACAAGCAGGTTAGGAAGCAACTCATGCAAATTCAGGCAAAACTCTGAATGGATTTATGATCACAAATGTATTGTGAGGAGCACAATACAGCACCAAAATAATATAAAGTACATATTCCAGGCATTCTGTAAATACACAGGATATGAACACATGTATTTCCATACAGAGCACAAATTTTTAACTGTTACAGTAATACACATGAGCTACATGCAGTTACAAATTGTGGTCTAAGCCCACACATTTGTAACCTGCAGCACACACCTGCACAAAACCTCAGGCTCAGGCAAACAAGCAAAATACTGAACTTCAAGTAAAATACATATTCTGTAACAACAGATTCTGGAAATACCCTCCTTGCAAGTCCACCCCCAAACTCTCAGCTTCTGAACACATGATTTATCTAAAAGCATTTCAGTCATGACATTTGCTCTCCCCGACTCAACACTACTGGGCTACTTGATAAAGCAAGGTAGGAAACATCCAGGTAAAAGGGACAAGGGGGGGAAATCCACCAAAGGCCAGGAAGGAGGAAAACCCTCGCCTCTCCAGGCAAGGATGCGTGGTGAGGCTGAAGATCTATTTTACCAGCTTTTAAACTGTATCTGCTCAGAAAAAACTGCCAAACTTTGCTCTGGTTAGTAGAACTGCACAAGCTGAAAAGCTTGGGAGCGAGCCATGCCAGGGACTGCCTCCTCTCTGGTTTTAGGGCCTACAATCCCAAACCTTGCCCCAAAAAAACAGCACATGACTGCAACAGCTCTGACTGCATGTTCCTACAAATACTCACAGAGCAGCAGCACCAGAGATGATCTCAATAAGCTCCTTGGTGATGACGGCTTGACGGGTGCGGTTGAACGTCAAGGTCAGCTTGTCAATCATCTCGGCTGGAAACAGGCAAGATTGGAATTTTAGCACAAAATGAGTGAATAAATGCAGATAAAGAGAAGGTGTATGGGCAGAATATCCAAGTAAGTATCTGCAAATATCCAACAATACCACTGCAAATATCAAGAGGCTTGGCGCACCTGACATTTTTTCCCTAGAGGTAATATTAACAGGAACCAATCTAGAAACCTGAGAATTCAGCTTGTCAGTTAAACATCTGCAGAACAGCTGGCAGACTTGTAAACAGGTATGACATAGCTTATTGTAACATAACACAAGCACACATCATTTGCTTTGAAATCAGATTTCACTGTCAATTAACTACATTATTATTTTCTTCAAGTTGTGGCAAAAAGAGACAGATTTTTCTGGGTTTTTTTTTTTTCAATTAATTTGAAACACAGAAATTATCACCTCTTTCTCTCAAGCTGGTCATCAGAGCCATGCCTACCATTCCAGGCAGCCCAACTGTACATCACATCAGCTTCACACAATCACCAGTATCCTGCCAAGGAATACTCATATATTCTCTACTTGCTCCATGACAGGTAGTATTTAACTATTGTTTAAGCTTTCCCATGTTTAAATAGTGCTGCACTAATTATATTTGGTGCATGGGTTGGTACAGATTTATAAAAATTCAGGAAATCCTCAGAGCAGCCACATGAGAGGAGCATAGAAAATATTTAGCCATTACAAGATTAGTTTAGTATTTCATATGTCTTTTAAATAATCTGTTATTTCAGTTCCAGTCCGAGGCTTGTTTCTTGACAGCAATCCCTCGTCCTAGGGACTAAATACAGTTCATGTTTGAAACATAATCTCAGTTGAACTGGCTCAAAAAAACGACTCAAAGTGGAATTAAGATAAGAAATAGATGACTTCTGAAGCCAAGAGTTACACAAAGGGAGGTCAGCACTTTCCTGCTGAACAACTGAAGTCCTGGAAAACCCAGGGAGTAGCTTACAAGCATTCTTGCTGGCATTGTCCATGGCAGTCATTCTGGCACTCTGCTCACTGGTGGTGGATTCTTTCAGGGAGTAGTACAGAATGTTTGCTAGTGTGAACTCCTGGTAATTTCTCAGCACATCAGCATCAATATCATCATAGATACTTAGGCTCTCTGCAAAACATGGAAAA